TGATTTGTCACTAATAAACTTTTCCTCTGGCTGAAAGAAGATTTGAGTTGAATTCTTTCAGACAGAGCCCAGTGTCACATTCTTGGGGTTCCCAGCAGCACCCCCAAAGTCCTAGACCTCTTCAAGTTCATTGTAGAGATGAGGAACTGAGGAGAATAGGGTTAAGCTCATAAGTGTCTGAGGCCAGATTTGAACTCACAAAGAGGAGTCTTCCTGACTCCAGGCCAAGCACTCTATACACTGTGCCATCTAGCTGCCTAGCTGGCAGGAGGCCTCCACTACCTTAGAGAACTCCCCCCAGGAGGAGGATATTCCGATGGGATTAACTACAGAGAAAACATTCCCACTGGAACCAACCTGAGCTTTGGCAAATCCTAAACCCCCAAGGTCAAATATCTTCCAACCCCAAGGTTAAGACATTCTCCCAAAAATCATGTGACATCCTGTCCCTAGTACTTAACCTAACAAGTTAGGAAAGTGGTTGAGTAGCTTTACCTGATGGGCTCATTTCAATAACATCATCCTACAGGCACTAGGGTGGTGCAGTGGATAGAGCACCGGGTCTGACTCATTTTCCTGAGTTCAAATTTGGTCTCAGATATTTACCAGCTGTGTGACCCTGGGCAAGTCACTTAACCCTGTTTGCCCCAGTTTCCACATCTGTAAAATGAGCTAGAGAAGGAAATGGTAAACCACTCCAGTATCTCTGCTAAGAAAACCCAAAATGAGGTCATGAGGAGTTGGACTTGACTGAAAAACAACTAAACAACATCACTCTAAGGCTGTTTAAAACTCTACACATTTCCACCTCTCACTCTACTTCCTTAGAGTAGCTACCAGGCTAAATGTTGAGGATACAGCCCATCAGCTGATGCTAATTAAACTTTTTATCTTCTAGACTAGCTACTAGATTTATAGACCTCTACTGAAATGAAACTAGGCAGGAAAAATTACTTTTCTGGAGGATCTTAGGACTTCTGAATTTCAGAACTCTCCAAATGCTGAAACATGTCCTATGGCTCCCGGTCAGCAAGAGATAGTGCTGCACCAGAGGTTTCAAACATGGCCATTGGGCCACATGCAACTCACAACACTCTTCAGTACAGCCCAAATCAGATTAAAACCAAATTGGGAAACAAATAAACATATATTAAAAATAGATAAACTTAGGTGATACAGTGGATAAAGTGGTGGACATGGAGTCAAGAAGACCTGAATGCAAATCCAGCCTTAGATGCTTAGTACCTAAGTGCAAAATCACTTAGTCTCTGTCTGCCTCAGTTTTCTCATCAGAAAACAGACCTTATCTCCCAAAAGTGTTGTAGAGATTACATGAGAAAATAATTGTAAATGCTTAGCACAGTGCCTGGCACATAGTAAGTGTTATATAAATGTTAGCTATTATAATAATAATAATATTATTATTATTATTATTATTATTATTACCTCCTTTTAAAACTGTCAGTATGCCTTCCACAGGTAACTTTGTATATAGATTACTGTCCCATTTCTATTATGATTTGATACTACTGTTCTAGACTTTATCAGAGCTCCTACTGCAACTAGGCTAGAAGTTTTAAACAGAAGGTTGCAACTGATATTATGGAATGTTTATTGTGAAAGTAAGGACTACTACGTGTTCCCTTTTGTCTTATATCTAATTATTGTTGTTTTTTCTTAAAACCATGTTTTAATGTGTTTAAAAAGGAAAGGGAGGAGTCTAGTGCTGCTAGATTTCAAACTATCTTACAAAGCAGGAATTACAACAACTATCTCGTACTGGATAAACACTTTTTTTAAGTAGATCAATGAAATGTATTAGGTAAGTATTACCTGAAAAGAAATGTGAATAACAGTATAGTGTTCAATAACCCCAAAAAGAAAACTACTGGGTAAGTGACTATTTGACAAGAACCACTGGAAAAATTAAACATTAACTTAAATTAATTTAAATTTTAATATAATTAAAAGTTCTTACAGAAATAAAATCAGTCCATCTAGAATAAAAATTATGGATTAGGAAAACCATTTACATTAAATATATCAGATTAAAACCTGACTGAATAATTATAGGAAACTGATACAAATATAAGAGATTAAAGAGCCATTCGTAAAGAAAGTGATCAAAGGATGTGATTTTCAAAAAGAAAAAAATAGAAATTATATATGATCAAATGAAAAAATGTTCAAAATCATTAATAATCAGAGAAATACAACTGAAAACAATCCTGAGATTTAAGAACTCTGATGGACTCTGAACAAGGCAATGACCAATCATCACTATAGCAGACTTGCAGATCATTCCTAAAATATATAGAGAACTTAGTAAACTCTATCAGAATACAAGTCATTCCCCAATTGATAAATGGTCAAAGATATGAACAGGCAGTTTTCAGATGAAGAAATTAAAGTTATCTAGTCATATGAAGAAAATGCTCAAAATCACTATTGATTAGAGAAATGAAAATTAAAACAACTCTGACATCACATCTATCAGATTAGCTAACGTGACAAAATAGGAAAATGATAAATGTTGGAGAAGATGTGGGAAAATTATAACACTAATGTATTGTTGGTGGAGTTGTGAACTGATACAACCATTTTGGAGAACAATTTGGAACTATGCCCAAAGGGTTATAAAAATGTGCATACCCTTTCACCCAGCAATACCACTTCTAGGTCTGTATCCCAAAGAGATCATAAAAATTGGAGAAGGACCTACATGTACAAAAATATTTATAGCACCTCTTTCTGTGGTGGCAAAGAATTAGAAAATGAGGGGATGCCAATCAATTTGGGAATGGCTGAACAAGTTGTGGTATATGAATGTAATGGAATACTACTGTTCCATAAGAAATGATGAGCAGGCAGACTTCAGAAAAACCTGGAAAGACTTACATGAACTGATGCTAGTGAAGTAAACAGAACCAGGAGAACAATGTACACAGTAACAGCCACATTGTGTGATGACCAACTTTGATAGACTTAAGCCTTCTCAGCAATACAAGGATCTAAGACAATTCCAAAAGACTCATGATGAAACATGCTATTCACATCCAGAAAAAGAACTACGAAGTCTGAATGCATATCGAAGCATACTATTTTCTCTCTTTTTTTTTTTTTTGGTTTCTTCCTTCTCATGATTTTTCCCTTTGGTTCTAATTCTTCTTTACAACATGAAAAATGTGGAAATATGTTTAATATGATTGTACATGTATAGCCTATATCAGATTGCATGCCATCTTAGGGAGGGGGGATAGGAGGGAGAGAAAATTTAAAACTCAAAATCTTATAGAAGTGAATGTTGAAAACTAAAAACTAATATTTTTTTTTAAAAAAGACGGGCAGAATGAGACATGTATTCTGAGAAAAAGCCAATGTATAAATTCACTTTGTATAAATATGCTTATTTGTTGCAAGAGAGGGTTATTTTTCCACTCTGCCTAATCCACTGTGTCATGTTTCCTGGTGACATCTCAATTTATCCCTAACTGCTCTAAAGTCCAATGGGAATATAAATACAAAAATAAATGGGAGATTGGGGGCAGGGGGAAGAAGATAGAGGGATAGTTATAGTGATTCAAGATAAAAGTAAAATAAATATGTTATAATGAAAATTCACTTTTCAATGTTTTGTATATGGAAATATTTGTTGTTACTTGCAAAATTCGTAAAAAAGAAACAAAGAAAACAACTCCAAGGTCTTATTTTTTTATCACTAACAAGCTAGAAAGGGTGGGAAAATTCATTGTTGTAAAGGCTATATAGAATAGGCATGCTAATCCACTGCTGGTGCCATTATGAACTTTTTCAAACAGTCTGGAAAAATGTTCAAAATCAGAAAAGTTGGCCTTGACAGAAACACTCCACTACTAGGACTATGCTACCAGAAAAGGTCCACAGGCACAAAAATGTACATATTGAAATTATTTGTGATAATCAAAATCTAGAAACCAAATGGTAGCCCAATAATTGAGGCTACAATTGAATAAATAACTATAAGTGTAATGGTATGTAACTGGAGATAAGGAATGAAAAATATTAAGAATACAAAGAAACCTGTAAAGCCTCCTATGAAGTGACAGAGTGGGGAAAGGAAAAAAAAATAGGACCAAAAGAAAAACATATAAAAAGAGTAAAAGTAAAGTACTGGAAACACAGATAGCCAATAAAACTGTCATCAAATACAATATTCAGTGTAAGTATCATGCTGTTAACTTTTTGGTTTTAAAAAATGAATTTTTTCCCAAACTGAATATTGTAGAATAAGATTATTCAAGTATTTACTGGAAATCAATCAACAGATCCAATCCATAAGCATTTACTAAATGCCTACTATATAACAGGTTCTGTGCTAAGCAATGGGAATACAAAGACAAAAATGAAAAAATTCCTGCCCCAAAGTTTATATTGGATAAGGGGAAACAATACATACATGGAATAAATACATACAAAACATATACAAAATAAATACCTGGTAATTTGGAGATGAGAGAGAGAGAGAGACCAAAATTGGGAGAGAACAGTTAAGACTTTAAGTAGGAGGTAGAGTTTGAACTAAGCTTTAAAGGAAACAAGATTCTCAAAGGGAGAGGTAAGGAAGACATACATTATAAGCATGAGAAAATAGCCTGTCATAAGGCAGAGAGATATATGTGTGTTACATCCAAACAAAATGTATCAATTTTTAATAAATGAATAGTTTCAATAAATGAACTAAGGAAAACAATAACAGATTTGGAGCTAAAGGGGACTCATCTAGTCCAGAATTCCAATTTTATAGATGAAGAAAGAGAGGCCCAAAGAGGCTAACTTACTTGCCCAAGGTGACCAAGGTAGCATCAGAGGCAGGAGCTGACTTGGAGTCCTCTTAGTACAAAATCAGTAATCTATCCACTATGTCAGAGTGATTCTCTCAAAATTCAGGTCTTGGGTTCATAATTTTATTTCCTAAATACATAATTTAAGGAATTACACAGAAAATTGTTGGACTGTTTTACCTGGATAATTTCAGAATTAAATTTGGATTCCAGGTGTGCTGCTCTTTCTGCTTCAATATTTTCCTCTAATTTCTTCACTTTCATAGTAGCTGCCTGAAAAAAAAACACATTTTTAAACTTCAAATTTATAAGTGTCGATATTTGTATTCAAGATGCCCAATAAGTAAAAATTATTATTTTCCAAAATTAGTATAGGCATAGGTAACTATTACTTTAATTCACCAAGTCACTATTTCCTTTAAAACCTCACACCAAGAATATGGGCGGGGGGGGGGAGACAAAATCAGAGATGAGCTCTTTACAGTTTTATTTTTTTAATTTGAAAGGGAAATGGTTATAAAGCTCATCAATCAACAATAAGTATTTATCAACTATCTATTACACGCCAGTTGCTGTACTGAATGTTGAGGATACAAGTACAAAGGATGAAACAATCCCTACTCAAAAGAAGTTTACATTGCATTAAAAGAGAAAACAAGTACATATTAAACATAAAGTTAATATATACAAAGTAGTTTGAGAGGGAGCACACTAACAATTCAAAAGACAAAGAAAGGCTTCAAGACGAAGATGGTTCCTGAGCTGCATCTTAAGGGAAGAAAAGGACTTTATATGGCAAGGAGGGAGTATATTTGAGGCATGGAGGACAACCACTGCAAAGTCATAGAGATCGGAAGATGGATGAAGTGTCATGCATGAAGAACAGAGAAAATGTCAATCTGGCAGGACAATGGAGCTCAGAAAGGAGAATAATGTCCAATGACACCAGAAAAATAAATTGAAGCCAGGTTATATATGGTTTTAAAACTAAGCAGAGAAATTTATATGTTATCCTAGAGGCAATAAGAAGTCACTGGAATTGATTGAGATGGGGAGTCACATGTTCAGATCTGGAGTAAAGAAAAGTATCTTTCATTTTGAAAGAAATGTGAGGTATGGAGTCAAAATAGAAGGCTGTTGCAATAATATAGGAGAGAAGTCATGAGAGCTAAACTAAGATAATAGCTGTGTGAGTAAAGAGAACAAACAGTCAGATGCAAAAGACGTCTTAAGAATAGAAGCAGAAAGATTTTGCAACTGACTAGATATATAGGGTGAGAAAGTCCAGAATCATGCTGAGATTACACAATAAAACATTAGAAAAATGGGTACCTTCACAGAAACAGCAAAGTTTGGAAGAGGTGAAGGTTGGCAAGAAAGATAATAATATGTGATCTTGGATATGTCTGAGGTTCTTCTCAAATGCTACCTTCTATGGAAGGTCATTCTAGATCTCCCCAGGTACTAATACTTAGCCTTTCCTGTACAACATTACGTTGCCTGCTTTATATGTTGTCTTGATAGGAATGGTATGGTGGTGAATAGGGAACTGTACTTGGAATCAGGAAGACTTTGTCTCAAATTGCTCCTTAAACACTGACTAGCACTATGAGTCTTCATTAAGTCACTTAACTTCTTTCTACATTAGTTCCCTCATCTATAAAATGAAGATGATGTCTTCAATGGCTTTTCAGTCTTAAAACTCTCTGGTCTATAGTCATACACACACATACATACACAAACAATCTCCCCAGTAAAACATAAGCTTTTTTGAGGGCAGGGATGGTTTTACTTTTATCACTGTATCCTTAGTACCTAACAGAGTGCCTAGAGCTTAATAAATACTTATTGGCTGATTAATTGATTCATTAGTGGTATAGCACCTTCTTTCCTCCAGCATTTGAGCAACTACAGCCTAGCTGGCCTTTAAATCCTCTTAGACTTAAGATAAATAAGCGTGGTAAAAGGGATCTATAGAAATTAACAATAATTCATTCCCTCCTAAGTTTCACAAACGTCAAATAAGTTATCTCTACTTAGTTACTTTCTTGGTAACAAATATTAAAAATCATTTCAACATAGATTAAAGAATTTAAATGTTTTAAATAATCAACTTTCAAACTATAATGAATCCTTACTCTGAAAATACATACACACATAAAAGAAATGTTCCTTATTTCAATAGTTACAAACAAAAATGGCCTCATAAAAGAATTCACCGTAATGATCAAAAAGATTCCAACTTTACTTACATGAACTAAGTAAGTTATTACTGCTCATAAACTTATACTCTCTGTAATCTGGTAAAACCCCAAATTTTTATTCTATGTTGAATGCAGCCCATGACACACAGCATGAAAGCATCACCAGAAAACTACTGGTGTAAAATAGTACAGCTTTTGATGCCAGTCTGGGATCACTGCAACCACTCCATAAGTTCTCAAATGCAAGCCAGTTCAGTTTCTTCCTCTTATTCAATTCTGTCCTTTCCAGAACTTTTTTCCACATTTTCTCATATACCAACTCATTGGTCCCAGAGGACAAGTCTGAATAATCAGAAGATCATCAATTTATAGCTGCAAAAGCCTTGAGAGGCCATTATGTCCAACTCTTTCCTTTTACAGATTAAGTACATGAGGTTGAGGAAAGTTAAAAGACTAACCAGAGTCACACAGCTATTAAGTGTCTGGGGCAGGAGCCCCAACTCTAAGCCCATCCCTGTATCCATTGTGCCACCTAACTTCCTTGCTCTCCACTGTAAATTCAACCACCACCCCCCCACCACGATCACCTAAGCAACCTCTCCTCCTCTGAGGTTCACTAGAACTAATCTTATCCCCCAATCCAGATCCCACTCACAGGACAATCTTTCTCCTTCCTCACTGTTCAGTAACTGACTCCCAATTATGAGAATCAAACATTACAAAAATGTAAGTTATGATAACAACTTGAGTTATCCAAAAGTAAACTGCCTAGGGAGACAGTAAGTTTTCCCTTCCTAAATCTTGAAGAAATAACTTCTTGGGGATGCTAAAGAAGTGATGCTTTTTTCAGGTACAGAATAAGGTGGCCTCTTTAGTCCCTTGCAAATAGGAGATTCTACAGTTATCATCTACCCAAACTGCTGCCCTCATTCTAAGGAATATCAAGATTTATGCTGATGTTCGTTCACATATCTTCACCTTCCAACTCCTCAATCCATGACCTATTCCTCCACTTCAACTCAGCTACACAAGCATGGTAATACTCTTGATAAGTGTTCTACTTACATGTTCCAGAACTCTATCCAGTCATAAGCTCCATCATTTCATCTCTCCCTGTGTTTTGTCCCTCTTAAACTTCTTCTTCATCTTCAGCATGATCTCCAATCACTCTATCTCTCAGTATTGTCCCCAGGTCACAACTCCTACTCTGGCTACACTTTTTTCTCTCCCTACATCAACCACTTTCTAAACTAGTTCAACTCTAAAATAACCTCTTTGCTTGAATCCTTGCTCCCTTGTGTTATCACTATCCATACCTTGTAAGACACCAAACCCATATTACCTTCCACTATTCACATTCTTTCTTTCTAATCATGTGTTGAGGAATGGAGTGGGACCAAAAGTGACACAACTGTTTTGAGCCCACTACACATTTATAGTCATTTTACTCCTCCTTATCGATTCTCCATCCCACTCAGAACAACAAATGTTTCAAACCTTCCTTTCCTCAAGCCTCCTACCATATCCCCTTCCCGTATATCTCTTAGCAGAGGAACTCATCTCATATTTTACCCAAAAAAAAAGGCACATTATCTCTTTTCCTCTCCTCATTTCACAATCTAAGTGAAATAAACACCCACTATTCTTCCTTTATACCTGTCTCTGTCAAGGCCATGTACACTTAATATACACTATATATGTATATGCTTCATATATACTTGATCTCATCCCTTCCCGGAAAGAATGTGTCAAACTACTCCCTTATGGTTCTAATTAAACTTTCCAAAACAAAATGCCACTTGCTGGACATCATTCCTCTAATATATGTGTTGTCTTCTCCATTAGAATTTAAGATCCTTGGTGGCAGGGAATATATTCTCTCTTTTTGAATCCTTAGCATTCAGCATCATGTTTGGCACATAGTAAGTACTTACATGCTTTTTTCATTCATTTACTCAATGAATGTTTAAGTAAATATATGTAGAATGTGTGTTTATATATACTGGCCTTTAATCTAAACTCACCCTTCTTGATCAATCTACTGCATTTGACACTTCTGACCACCCTCACCTCCTAGATACTCTCTCTTCTCCAAGTCTTTTGGACACTAATCTCTCCTGGTTGTCCTCTCATTAAAGAACTCCACTGTAGCTTTGAATAGTTCATCATTCAGATCGGATGATGTAAGTGGCTGCTCTCCAGAGCTCTGTCCCAGAACCATTACTCTTCTGTGTATATACTTTATCATTTGGTAACTTCATCTGTTCCCATGGATTTAACTATCATCTCCATGCCAATAACCCCTGATCTATATATGCAGTCATAATCTCTCCCCTGAGTTTCAACCCTGGATCAATTTCCCATTGGACACTCAAAATGTATATTCGGGAGAAAACTCTAACTCAATGAGTCAAAAAGAGAACTCATAATCTTCTACCCCAAAGATACTCCTCTTCTAAACCCAGTTGGTCAGGTTCATAACCTTGGTATTATCTTCAATTCTTCATACTCCTTCACCATTTATAACTAAGATGCCAAATCTTACAATTTCTACTCACACATTTCTCTCATCTGACCTCTTCTTTCTACTCACACAGATAACACGTTTGTTCAGGATGTCATCAACTCTCACTGAGATTATTGTAATTGACTCAGAATTGGTTCCCCTGACTCAAGTATCTCCCCATTCCAGACAATTCTCCACAGAGTTGCCAAAGTTATTTTCCTTAAGCTCAAATCTGACTGTGATAAACTACAGTGGCTTACTACCGACCCTAACGAGAAAATACAAACTTTTCTGTTTAGCTATTAAAACCCTAATCAACCCGGGCCCAAACTTTGTTCCCATCCTCAATGCCATTATTTGCCCTCCTTCCCACCCACACTGGCTTTCTCTCTTCCTCACTGAAGACATTTCATTTCCTACACTAGATCTCCCCCGGGAATAAAATCCCTCTTTTCCTTCAAGAAGCAGTTCAAACATCACTTCGTACAGCAAGCCTTTGCTTATCCCCTCTACTATTAATGTCCTCCCTCTCAAACTACCTTAATTTAACTATTTTATATTTA